CCACCTGGATATTGGGGTTGAGCCCAGTTCCATCTCTTAGCTGGGAAAATTTGGGGCCAAACACCAGCTTTTTGCCTGCATTAGAACCAAATTTTGACTGCTGTTTTTAGAATAAAAATCTTTAAATGAGAGCTTCAAACGTACCTAAACAAACACTGAGCTCAGTCCCAGCACCTGGAAGGTGAGGGTTGAACCAGGGGGTGACAAATCAGTTCTTTAAGAGGCTAAAGGATCTCTAAGAGGATAACCTCTCATTTTTTAGCCTTTTTTCCCCCAGAAGTAGGTTTTTCCATCCCACCCAACTCACTTTCACTCACACAAGCACTTTTAGCATCTCCTGGGCCCTTTCCTGGAGCCAGGGGAGCTGCTGCAATCTGCTGGAGAAAGCCAAGTGGCTCCCTGATGTTTCCTTTGCTAAATGCTCCTTAACCATTTCCCAGAGCCTGTTCCTGGCAATGATGTGACAATTCAGCACAAATGTCACCGAGCTGCTAAGTTTGCAGCCCTTTCTGCAGTGCTGAGGCTGGAAAATGGTGCATATCTATATATATTTTTATTTTTTTTTCTGCTGATCCAAGTCCTTAGTAATTACACTTAATAGATCCCAGAGGGATTCCTAGGTAACCTGCACTCTGGTTTCCATGGCAGAGAGGCAGAGCTTGTACCCTGTGATAACAGATAATAATGGATTGCTAATGCTTAAATTAATTATGCCACAATTGCATTTGTAAACCAGCTGTCCGTCGTATTCCCAGAAAAACTCTGGAGTTGCTACACAACAGTTCCAGGATAAAAACAAACAAGGCAGAGGGGCAGGAATTACTCTACAGCTACAATTGCCGTTATTACTCCTGTGCCATAACCGTGGTTTATTCCTATTTTAGTGTTTCCATGGGTTAAGGTCTAAGTTTCTGTTCTTTAAGCTTGGAAGAAAAAAAATCCTGGGAGATCCAACCTGTTGATAGAAAAGGATCCTTTTGCCCAGCTGATGTTGGTGTAGATTCTCATTCCCTCTGAGCAGAGGAGAAGGCACTGAGACCTCAGGAGACAGAAATCAGGCAGACAGAAGCATTGAGAAGTGCAGCAGGAGTAATTTAATTTAATTGGAGTAAGCCAGAAGCTTTGGAGGGGCCAAACTGCTTTTCCAGCAGCAGCTGCCATTCCCTGCCATTCCCACCTGGACAGCAGCACAGGGAGGAGGGGGTTAAAAAGAGGGAGCTGTGAAAAGGAGGCAGAATTTGTGGATTTGAGCTGGTTGGGTCAAAGAGCTTCCACACCTCCCTGGTCATCCTATTCCAAGGGATGGGAAATGTGGCAGATCCCGTGGCAAAGGAAGGATTTTCTCCTGCCCCTGCCCTGCTCCTCATCCCTGCAGGATGCAAACCTGAGCCTGGGCTGAGCAGAACCTGGGATCCAGAGGTGCTGATGGGTGTTGGATCCCCGCAGTTTTCCAGCTGAGGGCACAGCTTTGATGCCCTGTGTGTAAATCACAGATCCACGGGATCACCAGGGCTGGAAAATGCTCTGGAAGTGAATCCCACCATTGCCCAGCACTGCCAAACCACCTCTGCTCCATATGCACACAGCTCTGGGGATGGGGACTCCACCACTGCCCTGGGTGAAGAATTATTCCCAAATATCTAATCTGAACCTCGCTGGTACAACTCCAGGCTGATTCCTCTTGGCCTGTTGCTGTTTCTTGGGAGAAGTGACTGCTGCAGGCTGTGCTCCCTCCCTGCACTCATCCCAGGGAAGGGCTGGAGCTCGGCTGCATCCCAAAATGAGGGAACGGGGAATTGGGAGGGACCAGCAGCGTGAGCAGAGCAGGGGCAGCGCTGGCTGAGCTGTTTTGGCAGGGAATTGCTCCATGGAGCAGCCCAGCAATGGGGCTGAGCCCTCCCTGGCTGCAGGGCTGGGGCAGGAGCTCTTTTGGTGCCAAGGCAAACAATGAGAATCGCCTGCAAAATCTGTTATTACATTACCAGCAGCTCCAAAACCCCTCCAACCCAATAATCTTCTGAAATGCAGCTAATCCCTCCCAGCGCCAGCAAGGCTGGGCTTGGCACGGGGAAGGGAAGGAGCAGCGAGCAGGGGGTGGTTGCTGCCTTTGGAAGCTTCTCATGGCACAGGAGGAGAGGTTTGCCAGGAGCAGCCAGCCCTGGGTGGGCACCTGGCTGCTCTCTGCAGTCCCTGCCTTGGCTTGGCTGCCTTTGACCCTGTTGCCAAGCTACAAATACGCCTTTCCAGCAGGCTCCAGCATCCTCGCTCCCACCCACTCCCAAACGCGGCTGAATCAGGCTGCTCAGAGCAGAAACCATCCCCGGGCAGCCAGGAGCTGCTTTTCCTCCTTCCTTTTCCAGCAGCTCCGCAGAGTGACCCAGGGAAAGCTCCCAAGGGGTGCCCAGCCCTGTCCCCGCTCCATCCCAGCGACGTGGGAGGGGGCAGGAGCCTGGGGGAAAAGCCTTTGGAGCATCCCAGGGCTGGGATGCAGCAGGAATAGCTGAAGATCCCAAAAAAAAAAAGCAACCACCCACCTGCTGCCAGCAGCACTCACCCTGTGCGAGCCACGCTCACACCCTGGCACCAGGGCTGGGGTGGCAGGAGGGATGGGGTGCCAGGAGGGATGGGGTGAGGTGCCAGGGATGTTTTCCTGACCGCTGCCCTGCAGCAGGATGTGTTGCAGGGCTGCCTGCAGTTCCTGGGGTGTTGGTGGGGTCCCACAGGATGGTCCAGGACGTGCTCCAGGGGAAGCAATGGATGCTCCCCGAGGGATTGAACCTTTCCTGGGATCTCCAGCCCAGCTGGGCTGGGGGTGTGCACAGGGCAGCTGCACTGGGGTTCCTGCAGTGCTCTCCAGGTGAAATCACAGAATTCTGGGATGGTTTGGGTGGGAAGGACCTTAAGGCTCATCCCATCCCACCCTTGCCATGGCAAGGACACCTTCCCCTATCCCAGGCTGCTCCAAACCCTGTCCAACCTGGCCTTGGACATTTCCAGGTGGTTCCCAGGAGCTTCATTTGGTCCATATGAACTCAGGAAAGGTTATTAGAGTATTCCCAAAATGTTGGCTGAACATGGACCCCTGTGTGCTGACCTGATGTCCAGGATACCTGGAAAACAACTGTGTTTATTGGGAAATGTCCTGTGGACACTTCAAACCATCCCCAAACCACTCGAAGATCCCATATAATCTGCTTTGTTGTTTGTTTTTTTTTCTTTTCATTGACCACCTGAGAAACAACCAATTTTAGCTCTGTTTTTAAGGCCAGAATTCCTATGGGAGTGGCATGGGATGATCCATGATCCATCAGGGGGTACAGCCGAGTGTTTGTTTGGCAGCTTCAAAAATCCTCCCAGGCTTTCTGGGCACTTTGGGAGGTGTCAATTGGGATCTGCTGATCCCCTGAGCTGCCTGGGCTCCCCAGAGCAGATTCTCCTGGATTCTCCCCAGATTCTCCTGGAATCCCTGCAGAATTCCAAGGACCCATCTAACTCCTGTCCTTCTCTTTCTCTTGCAGGGTTCAGCTCCCATCCTGGTAGTCATGGTGATCTTACTAAATATTGGAGTCGCCATTTTGTTTATTAACTTTTTCATCTAATTCAAGACTGTCTCGTTTGCAAAAATAACAGTTACATGTATGAATGGGAAAAAATACAAAACAAAACAAAACAAAACAAAACAGAACCAAACAACAACAACAACAACAAAAAAAGGGAAAAATCATAACTCGAACTGTCCTCTGACAATTTCCAAGTCTTTTCACAGAAGAACAACAAATGATCGAGTCTCACTCACAGTTTGCCTTTTTTCCTGGGTAATGTTTTTTGGATTTTAGCCAAAATTCTTTGCTTGTATAACACTATGCTGTGTGGCATGGCAAAATGCTATCAACACTCTGCCCCCCCAACACTGGGAAGGATGAGAAGGAATCCCAACAAAAGAAAAAAAAAACCTCGTTTCCCTTCCCCTCACCCCCCCAACAAAAAAAAAAATTGTCTTTGTACCAACAGCAATGAAGCCCAAAATGGAGATGAGACGAGGGGACCATGGGGAGAGTTTGGGTGGAGTGGGGACGGGTTCTGGGATGCTCCAGGCTCAGTTTCCCAGGGAAATCCACAACGGCTTTAATGATAAATGGGAGAGAAAAGCAAAATCAGACTTTTCACCCTTCGAAACTGGAGGAATGCTGCTGTAAGAAGGAGGAGAGAAGGAGCACAGGGAAGGAATGAACCCTGTCTGGATGGGAAAACGGCAGAACAGGCCCCATTCTGATCCTTGTTTTTAAAAGAAAAATTGGCTTTTTGCAGAATTGCCCGGGGCAGGGGGGGAATAGGGAACACAAGGTGTGAGCAGCAGCCCCAGCACCCTCCTGCCTTCACTCCTCCTCCCCAGGCTGCTCCTCACCCATGGCAAGGCAGGAAAACCTCCCAGAGCTATTTTTAATTCACAGCCAATTTCTCCTGGCTAAAACTTCCCCCCTAAAAAAAAAAAACAAACCCTTGGAGGCACCTCCAGCAGCACAGAAGGAGTGGCTGATGGTGCTGTGCTGGTGAGGAGCACCCAGCCCATCCCAAAAAACGTGCACAGGCAGCAGGGTGGGGAGGGACAGGGGACAGAGGGCTCAATTCCAATCCACTGAGGATGACAATAAAACAAAACCAAGCAAAAATCCAACTGTTTCTCAAAGGCACCTGGGGAGGAGCAGCTGGAGCATGTCCCAGAGAGGAGGGAGAGGGTGGTGGGTTTGTCTCTTACATCTTGCTGTGGACTGTTTCAGACATCATGCTTGGGCTCTGAGCATGTAGTATTTTGCACTTTGTAATGCAGGATGTATATTCCAGCTTCCAACATGTCCCTGTATTAAAAAAAAAAAGAAAAGAAAAAGAAAAAAAAAGAAAAAAAAGTAAAAAAAAGAAAAAAAAAAAAGAAAATCAAACCAAACATCATTGGCAATGGCAGCCTCTAAGGATGTATTTTCTTTCTTTTTTTTTTTTTTTCTATGTCACTTAATTTGTTCGTTTCTACCATCTTTGTACTTATGCCTGCCTTGATTTTTGTCCCCTCCCCGTGCCCACGGATAATCTGCATACTCATTAAAGATGCGTATCCCTGTTCTGAGCTGTCCTGGTCCCCATCACACAGCGTGCTCTCCGTTCCCAAAGCTCCCATCCCATCCCATCCCTCCCCTCGGTGCTCCCCCACCAGCAGCTCCCACGGCTCCTTTGGGGTTTGGGATCAGGGACCAAATCCCACCCTCATCCCCCCATGCAGCTGCAGCAGGGTGCAAATCCTTTGGGGTTTGGGACCAGGGACCAAATCCCACCCTCATCCCACACCCCTGCAGCTGTGGGTGCAGAGAAGGGTGCAAATCCTTTGGGATTTGGGACCAGGGACCAAATCCCACCCTCATCCTCCCTACAGCTGCAGCAGGGTGCAAATCCTTTGGGATTTGGGACCAGGGACCAAATCCCACCCTCATCCCACACCCCTGCAGCTGCAGGGGCAGGAGAAGGGTGCAAATCCTTTGGGGTTTGGGACCAGGGACCAAATCCCAGCCTCATCCCCCCTGCAGCTGCAGAAGGGTGCAAATCCTTTGGGGTTTGGGACCAGGGACCAAATCCCACCCTCATCCTCATTACAGCTGCAGAGGGGTGCAAATCCTTTGGGATTTGGGACCAGGGACCAAATCCCAGCCTCATCCTCCCTACAGCTGCAGAGGGGTGCAAATCCTTTGGGATTTGGGACCAGGGACCAAATCCCAGCCTCATCCCCCCTGCAGCCGCAGCAGCAGGAGGAGGGTGCAGGAGGGTGGCAGCTCCCGAGGGGGGTGAGACCCTCACAGGAGATTTTGGGGGTGGGGAAGGAGGGAAAAGCCCTCCCCGACATTCACGTCCAGAGTTGTTGGATCCAGCCCGGACTCGTGGACTCAGCTTTGCTTTGCTTCTGTTTTAGCTGTTTCTCTGCTACCTTTTCAGCAGATTTCTTATTACACTGCACTGGATTGCTATATTTTTAACCAGAAATAAACTAAGGATTAGAGCATGTGCCAGTTAAATTCAGTTCTTTTCCTTACATGGTCTGATTCCCTCCTGTCGCAGTTTTGCTTCCTCTTCTCCTTCCTTTCCCTTTCCAGGCACAGGGCTATGGGTGGACAGGGGAAAGGATAATTTTGAAATTCCATTTTCCACAGTAACTGTCCATCATCTTCCCACCTCTTCCTTTTTTTGTGTTGTTTTGGATTTTCCTTTTGGTCCTTAGTCATAGTTTTGGGGTTTTTTTTTTTCGCCCTCTTCAACGCTTGCTGCACACTTGAAATGAACCAAAAAAACCCACATATTGGGACTGCAGCCTTGGGAATTCACCCCTGGGATTTGGAATCCTGCTTCTATTCTTTGGAAATACTCTCGAGGACTTTTTTTTTTATTATTTTTTTGGTGCATTCAAGTGCAGGACACAAAGGTCCTGTCAGAAGCAGGTTAAACACAGCCCTGCAAATACAGATATTTAAATATCTGTAAAACAGCACCAAAATGCCTCTTGTTATCCATCAAATAAAAGCACTGGTGGTTTCCTGACTGGGTTTTTCCCACTGGTGCCTGCCCAGTTATTCCTGCTCTTGCTCCTGGACCAGCACAAATCCAACTTGGATTTTTCAGCTCTCTGCTCCACTCAGTCAAGCTGAGGTTTGCTCAGTAGGAAAGACAGCCACAGACTAATATTAATTGGCTCCCAACCCACACGGTCCAAAGTAATGATTCCTTTCTTAATCCCGGGGAGGTGAGCAATTTGTCTCAGTCCTGGGCTGTTCACAGTTGCCCAAGGCCAGGAATATTCCTGAGAAGAACCCCAGAGAGAGAGGAAATTCAGTGTATTTCCCTGTCTTACGAGCCTGGCTCCTGCAGATCTGCCTAAGGCCCATTAAAACGCCCATCAAGGTGGGCCATAAATCCACGGAAATTATCCAGCCCTGCTGCTTTGTGTCCAGGCTGGCAGCTGCTCTTGGTCAGTTGAAGGTTTGGAGCATTTTTTTAAGGCTGCACTGGAATTTTTATGTTGTGCCAGCACGAGGAGGGGCTGGCACAGCAGAGCCGTTGGAAGGGGGAATTTGGGAAGGAAGGAATTTAGGAATTTAGGAAGGAATTTAGGAAGGAAGAAATTTAGGAAGGTATTTAAGAAGGAAGGAATTTAGGAAGGAAGGAATTTAGGAATTTAGGAATTTAGGAATGAAGGTATTTAGGAAGGAATTGAGGAAGGAATTTAGGAAGGAAGGAAGGAATTGAGGAAGGAATTTAGGAATTTAGGAAATTAGAAATTTAGGAAGGAAGGAAGGAAGGTATTTAGGAAGGAATTTAGGAAGGAATTTAGGAATTTAGGAAGGAATTTAGGAAGGAATTTAGGAAGGAATTTAGGAAGGAATTTAGGAAGGAAGGAAGGAATTTAGGAAGGAATTTAGGAAGGAATTTAGGAAGGAATTTAGGAAGGAATTTAGGAATTTAGGAATTTAGGAATTTAGGAATTTAGGAATTTAGGAATTTAGGAAGGAATTTAGGAAGGAATTTAGGAAGGAATTTAGGAAGGAAGGAAGGAAGGAAGGAAGGAAGGAAGGAAGGAAGGAAGGAAGGAAGGAAGGAAGGAAGGAAGGAAGGAAGGAAGGAAGGAAGGAAGGAAGGAAGGAAGGAAGGAAGGAAGGAAGGAAGGAAGGAAGGAAGGAAGGAAGGAAGGAAGGAAGGAAGGAAGGAAGGAAGGAAGGAAGGAAGGAAGGAAGGAAGGAAGGAAGGAAGGAAGGAAGGAAGGAAGACAAACCCCCTGTGCCACATCAGCTGCTCCCAGCCCATCTGGTGTCTGGGTGGTGGGAGCAGATTCCAGCTCGCTCCCAGAGATCCCGAGCTGTGGCAGCATCCCTGCCAGGAAACACAGCCAGACTGCATCAGGAGGGGAGGAGCGACAGCAGCAACAGGGTGGGACCCACAGTGAAGGGCTTAATTGAGACCTAAGGACTAATTACACACGGCAGCTTTGGCAGTGCAGGGAGGGTGGGGAGCAGGGATTTTTGGAAGCTGTCACACAGACAGGGTGGATCCAGAGGGCTGTGCTGAGGCAGGACGGAGCAGGGATGGGATCTCCTGAGCTGGGGGTGAGGGGTTTGCACAGAACAGAATCCTGACAGTGGCAGCTTTTCCTGCTTTAGGGACCAGCTCAGCTCCTTGCACAGCTCCTGAATGACTGCAGCAGTCGTGGGATCATCGAATCATGGAATGGGCTGGGTTGGAAGGATCTTAAAACTCATCCTATCCCACCCCTGCCACGGCAGGGACACCTTCCACCATCCCAGGTTGCTCCAAGCCCTGTCCAACCTGGCCTTGGGCACTTCCAGGGATCCAGGGGCAGCCTCAGCGTCTCTGGGCACCTGTGCCAGGGCCTCACCTCCCTCACAGGGAGCAGCAAATCCCCCAAAACTTTGCACAGAAAGATGTGAACTTACCCAAGTGGGAGGACAACAGGTGAGTGACTGAGCAAGCACGAGGGACTCCTTCCTGGATTAACAAGAAATGCTTTTTCACCTTTCCCAGATCATCAATAAATTGTTTGTTTTCACCTCTCACCTGTTATTTCGTGGGGAAGGTCCCTCCCTGACAGCCACGTTTTTCTCTCACCAATTAAAGCTCCCTGTCAGCTCTATTTAATCTTCCTTCTGTGCTAATTAGCCCAGCAGATCCCAGCCCTGCTCTCTGGAGAGCTGCATCCCTGGGGATGGCCCTGGCACCTGGAATTCCCTGCACAAGGACAGCCAGTCCTGGTGGCACCTCCAGGCATCACTTGGCTGCTGCAGCACACAACTTGGATCCCATCTGGTGTCCCCAAGGACACAGCACTGCTCTGCTGGGAAGGAAGGGATGCCTTGAAAAACAAAATCCTGGCATCAGCCCACTCCTTCCTGGCTTCAGTGAGGTCTGCAGGTGGAATTTCACTGGTTATCAAGAGGTCATTTGCAGGACAACTGGACCAACGGGGGGAAAAAGTGAACTGGGAGACTCCACAAAGGCAAAACTACAGCAAACATGGAAAAGGAAGAGGTTTCTGTGAGTGCATCTCACAGGTAAGGCAGGGCAGGATTCCCAGGTTTTTCCAGAGGTGCTGGTGCACTTTACTCAGCCTGCAGATGTCACAGCAGGAACTGCAACCCCTCTTCCACACCAGGAGGAAAACAAGAACAAAAGCTGGGGTGGGATTTACTGAGCAAAACAAGGTGATATAACCAAAGTGAGTTTATTGTAGGAACGCCTGGAGACACGTCCTGGCCCCAGTCAGGAATCTGGGACCAGCCAACCATTGTCATGTGCACAGTTTGTCTACACAGACCCCAAACAACTTTGGAACAACAAAGTCAGTGTTGTACAGCCCAGAACAAGCAGAACAAGTGCTTGGACAGCAATCCTGCTCCTCAGGAGCTTCCCACAGCATTCCCAGGAGTACCAGCAGATCCAGAGCATCCATCCTGGACGGTCAGCCCAGAGCTGGGAAAGGCTGGAGCCAGCATGGACGTTGGGCTGACCACTGCTCCCAGCACCTTCCTTCACTCCTGCAGCAGCCTCAGGACATCTGGAGGGCATCTTCATAGAAAGTCTTGGCCATGGCATGAGCCACCTTGAGCACCTTCTTGTCCTTGGCCTCGGGGCCCATGTGGCCACGGGCCAGCCTGAGCCAGTATTGCTCTGTCCTGGCCACGTACTGGGGCTGGGCCTCCCCAGGCTGCACTGCTGGGTGCTGCTGCTCCCCTGCGCGAAGAGAGGGACACACAGAGGTCACACACAGCTCACCAGGGCCAGCCCACGTGGGGCTGAATGGAACAGCCTGAAAATCTACCAGCAAGCAGGAAAATTTCTCTTTTATTCCAAGAGCAATGTGTTAGGAAAGCTGCTGCTGCTGGGAAGCTCCCCTGGGTGCAAGGGAGACCTTCCAGGCTGGCAGCAGAACCAGGCACTGCACTAAACCCCACTTTAGATTAGTATGGAAACAGCATTTATTAGTAGTTACCTTCCTCATCTTCACTCTCCTCTTCAGAGCTCTCCTCTTCTTCTTCTTCCTCCCCTCCCTCTGCACCTTCCACATCATCATCCTCCTCTTCATCTGACTCTGACTCCTCCAGCCATTCCTGGGTTTCTTTGATGAGAAAGGAAAGAGAGGCACAAAGAGAGAATTAAGGTATAAAGAGATAACCCCAGGTAATGCCCACAAGCTCTGCAGGACCACCCTGAGACAGTGGGGACAGGCAAAAGCATCCCTGATCCTTGGAGCACAGCAGGATTCCCAGGCTGGCTCATGCCACCACAGCTCTGCTCACAGCTCTTGGATCTCCACAGGGCACAGCTGACTCTACACTGACCCCAAAGCTCTGAGCCACACAGGTAAGACAGTTTTTCCTCTCCAGGGAAAACCTCCACTCAAAGGCTCTCCACCACCCCGAGGAAACACCAGAGTTGTTTTCTTTCCTCACTGTTGCTGCCCTGAAGGCACAGGGAGAGCTCCCATCAGCAGAGCTTACTTGGATCCATCTCCAGCAGCACCTTCCACTGCTCCATCCTGTGCAGGTCGATGCTGTGCAGGTCACTGAGGGTCACCTGGCGGTCGCCCACCTCGAACATGCCCCCGTACACGTAGAGGACCCCGTGCTTCACTGCCACCATGGCACTGGAGCGTGGGCACGGCTCCACTGGCTGGCCCAGGGCTCCACCTTCCTCCTCCTCCTCCTCCTCCTCCTCTGAGCCAGACCTGTCCTTGTCTTCTGCAGCTCCAGGGATCAGCTGCTTGATGGTCATGACGGTGCCATCTTCTGCCACCACCTCCTTGATGATCTCCAGGGGACCCTGGGGAGGTGGCAGCTGCAGCTCCTCCCCTCCAGCAGCCTCTGCCTCGGCCTGTCTGCCACGCCTGCGCTTCCTCCTCTCTGCTTTTGGGCCCTGAGAACAGGAATTGCAGGAGATTTCGTGGGAACAGCACAGGGGGAAGGAACAATTCACATTTTTCATCACAATTTAAAGTCTCAAGTGATCAGCGCAATTCCTCCTACTGCATGAGCTTCTCCCAGCCTAAACCAAAGAACAGTGAAGATCCTGGAGAATCCAGGGTGTGGAATTGCTTCCTCTGTTAAAAGAGGAGCAGCTCTCCTGCTCCCAGGTGCCACAAACACACAGAGGCCACTGTTGTGTGGCAAGGGAAAGTAACCCACCATTTCCTGAAATCACAACAATTGCTGGGTGCTAAATTACAGCCCATTACCAGGCAGCACTCCAGGTCTTGGAAGAACTCTCTGAAAGGGCTGGAAAACAATCAGTTTGGGAAGGCTGAAGCAACCAGCTGAGTGGCTGTTTGCCTGTTATTATGGGATTGACTTCTCCATTTGGAGAACAAAGCCAGGAAGGGGCAGGGGGAAGGAGAAGCTGAACCAGGTTTGCACTTCTCTTGGCCTGTGAGAGCGGTTCAAACACAATCAAAGAGCTGAGCTGAGCTCTGAAGCTCTTGGAGACGAGGTTAATATTTCATCTCTTCTGGTGGCTCATCAGCACTGGGGAGAAAAGGGAGGGGTTTGATCCCAAAATCTTTTGACAGCAGCTTTGAATGAACGCCCCTCGTGTCAGATTCATCTGGCCTGGAGAGAGCTTTCAGCAAAACACCAGAAATAAGTTTTCAAGCTGCTTTGCTTCATTTTGCATTCCACAATAATGGGGCAGCCTGATTCCTGGAGGAGAGGGATTGCTCAGGTGCAATGAGCTACCAGAAATACAGGATTCCTTCCAAGAGAGAAAAATCCTTGCTCCATCCCTGGAAATGTCCAAACTTGGAGCAACCTGGATTCATGGAAGGTGTCCCTGCCCACGGCAGGGGTGGAATGAGAGAATCTTTAGGGTCCCTTCCCACCCAAACAATCTGTGAAATCTCAAAGAGGCCAAACCAGGCATAAAGGATGTGCCAGGTGATGAAATGACTGAATTGTTTAACCCCAGACCTTGAGCTGTGCAGGGAACCAGCGGTTCTTCCCAATGTCATAGAAATAAATGTCATTGAAGAAGTCCCCCTCGATGCTCTCCTCCTCCTCCTCATCGTGCACCCCCCCAAAAAGGAGGCAGCGGTTGTTGGGAGCAGCGGCCACGGCAAAGCCAGACCTGGGGCTGGGTTTCACTCCAGAGGGGCTGAGGCGACTCCAGCTCCACCTGTCTGCAATGGAGACAACCAGTGTGAGCACCAGCAGAAGAGAATCCTGCTTGGTTCATGTATTCCAAGGTCTCTCAGAATTCCAGCAAGGAAATCTGATGCCTTGTGAAGCCTCAGCTAGAACAGAGGCTGGTCAGAGTTACAGAATAAAGCAGGGATTTATTAAAGGATCTCCTCCATGGATCCACCTTGGGCAGCACCAGAGCCCAGCCAGGGCTGCACCCAAATGAACCAAAATGGTTCCAAAATGAACCCAAGGTGAACCAAAATGGTCCCAAAATGAACCCAAGATGAACCAAAATGGTCCCAAAATGGTCCCAAGATGAACCAAAATGGTCCCAAAATGAACCCAAGATGAACCAAAATGGTCCCAAAATGAACCCAAGGTGAACCAAAATGGTCCCAAAATGAACCCAAGGTGAACCAAAATGGTCCCAAAATGAACCCAAGATGAACCAAAATGGTCCCAAAATGAACCCAAGGTGAACCAAAATGGTTCCAAAATGAACCCAAGGTGAACCAAAATGGTCCCAAAATGCACGAGCGCTCCCGGGGGCTCTCCCTGGGATCAGTTCTGCTCCATTGGCACCTTGGAGTTCATTGTCCCATTCCAGCTTTAGCCCAGGCAGTCCCACCCTGCTTGTTTTTCTCTCTCCAGCCCACGGTGTTTGTGCTCCTGGGCTGAGATTTGGATCATTTGTCCTTGGTGCCCAGCTGGAGCAGGAATTGTTTTGTCTCCCTGCTCTGTGCACAGAGCTCAGCATCCCCTGATATGAAGTTCAGAACTGCACACTAAAGCAGCACAGAGTGTGAAAAATATAAATGCTAAAACCTGAGGCATCAATTCTGTGCCCTGTTTTGGATATTCTCATGGCAGGGTATTCTCTGGGTATTTCCAGAGCTTTCTGGAGCAGGGAAACTCTTTTAAGTGTCTGCACCTTTACTGGAGGGTGGAGTTCAGACAAGGCCTGATCAGATGCAGCCTTCAAGCACCAAAAAACGTCCCTCAGTTATCCCATGGAGCCCTCCCACCTTCCATCAGCTCTCTCCACCTCTTCTGCCACCCTGCACTGATGCCTTACCCCCAAAAATAAACACAGATCATCCCAAAAAGCCCCAACCAGGCTTTAAAAGAGGGCTCAGCAGCAGGACAAGACTTGTGCTCTATCCCTCTGCTTTTCTCCAATCCCTTCTACTCTGACTTCAGAGCAAATCCCTGAAATGCAGGCTGGGAGAAGCACTGCCAGGCCCTATGCTTCTGAAGGAACTGCAATTCCAGCAAGATAAAACTATAAAAAGGAATAATGCAAACAGGCCCTGGAGTCCAGACAGTGCTGGTGACCAACCCTCCTCCCCAAACCCCATCCCAGACAGTCAGGTTTGGAGAAATCAATCACAATTTTAACATTTTAGAAATTCAGCTCCAAGAAAATTGTCCCACTGCCTAAGTCAAGGAGAAAATCTCCTAAGGAAAGTGATGGAATTCCTATTCCAATTCAAGATAACCAAAGAGCCACCATGGATCAATCTGTCCCACAAGGATTGTACTCCATGGAATGGGTCCAGCCTGGAGAAGGGAAAGAGCTGAGTGATATTCCCTGTCCTTATCTCAATCCACGAGTCCCCCACTGGATTTTCTGTCCCTTCTCCAGCTGAGGAGGGAGGGATGGAGCAGCTTTAGCACGTCCCTGGAATCCACCCAGGAATACCCCACCACAGGAGAATTCTGCACTCCTCAAGATTTTCTGTTGTGCACAGGAAAGCACTGATCAAAATGTCCCAGAAACAGGAATTTGGAAATGTTGTTTTAATTCCTTCCCACACACAAACTGAGGAAAAAAAAAAAAAACACTAAAATCTCTTTTCCTGGATTTCTTCCTGAGCCAATACTGGGGCAACACAGAGGTTATCACTGAGAGGGGAATTAGATTCCAGATTTTTTGGTGTGTTATTCTAATGAAGGGAGAGGATTTGCATTCCCAGGGTAGTGCTCACCTTCCTCCTTAGCTGCCCCTTCAGCCTTCAGCAGGAACATATCCGTGTGCAGGGTGCCTTTGTCCACATCCTTCTTGATCCTCTGCAGGGAAGGGAAACACAGGGATGCTCAGGGAAACAGAGGGGATCCAACTGGAAATGCAAACACTGGGACTGGGCAAGGAGAGGCCACTCTGGAGCATCAGGGAGCTCCAAACTTGGGCCAGCAGAGGCAGAGGTGACAGCTCTGTGCCCCTGCAGCTGCCCCTGTGGGGTCATTCAGCTTTGCCACGTGTCCCACACACAGCCCTGAGCAACAGGTTCATCCTCCTAAACAGGAGCAGAAACTCCACTCCCATCCCTTCAAAAGGCAGCAGCAAGGACAAGGTGAAAGCTCAGCAGAAGCCATGAAATGCCTGATTTTCAGTGTGAATTCCCTGCTCCTCTCCCTGGAAGCTCTGGATTCCAGTGCTCATGGCAACAGCAGCATCCCAAGGCAGCTCTGTGCCACACCACCACAGGAGCTGTGTTAATAATGTCATTATCCAGCCATCCTTCATGCACAGCTTCCTTGTCATTCCCTTCCTCCTGGGATGAGGAGCTCTGCTCCCAGGATGCCAGCAGTGCATCCCAGCAGTGCATCCCAGCAGTGCATGCCAGCAGTGCATCCCAGCCCTCAGGAAGATGAGCTCTATGGAGACTACAGGATGCAGGGATTTGGGCACCCAGAGAAGAGAAATTAATTGTCACAGGGGATTAAAACCAACTGGGTCCAGCCCTCTCCTGCTGCACACCTGCACCTGGCAGGTTTTGTTGTTGGTGATATCCAATTCCTGGGACTGGTGTTCAGTTCTTAGGGAGAAGAGAGGGACTTGTGCTCCAGACACGGCACAGCTCCACCCAGGTGAAGTGTGAGGAGCACAGCACTGCGTGAGAGGCAAGAGAGCAAACACAGAGAGAGCAGCTGGCTCCACAGCCATCCAAGCTGTGTGGAAAAACCACATTCCCTTCTCCTGAAAAGCTCCCTGTAGTAAACATGCTGTGTGCAACATGACAAAGCTCCCTGGGCTCAGAAAACCCTGGTGAGGTGGAGTGGGAGTCAGTCTTTGTTGTCACAGGCACTTCCAGCTGCTGGAGAGATCCATCCCCTCCCAGCCAGGACAAGGCAGCCCTGAGGAAATCATTCCATCACTCACAAGAGGTTCCTGCTCCCCTCCTGTCCTCGGTGCTTTCCAGCTCCAGGTGTTTTGTTTTCCAGCATGAACCTGGCTGGGATATGCACAGTGGCCAGCCTGTGGTTTGCACATGCAGGCACAGTGGGGAGCAACAAGAGCTTTACAAAAAGCATCAGCTGAAAATTCCAACTCTGCTGCCAGACTGCAAAGCAACTGAGGCATAGAGAGCTTGGGAAGAGCAATCAGGATTCTCCACATGCTAAAACTGCCTGATAGGAGATCAACAGTGTTCAAAAACATCCAAATAGCAAAAGTGTTCAGCAGGCAGAGCTACAGAAGGAACCAGTCCCACCAGACCTTACAACTCAGGCTCTTCTACATCTCCCAGCAGAATCCACTTCAGCTTTGTGACAACTGCCACTTAAAAAAACCCCAAAACAACAAGATCCCCACACCCCAGCCATCTCTGGCATCCCAAAGCCCTGCCCACATGTAACTCCAGCCCTCCCCTGGCCTGTAGGCTGCACCTGCAAGGTGGAGCAGCAGCAGCTCCAGCCCCTCTGTTGCCTAGCAATGGAGATGCCTTGGTGCTTCAGACAGCCCAAAATGCAGCTCGCTGCAGCAAGCCCCATCCCCAAGGGCTGAGGACATCTTTAGGATCTGCAGGAGAGCAGGACTGAGCTCCTCTGGGCATCTGAGGTCTGTTCCAGGCAGAGCTGGCAGCACCCACAACACCCCCTTCAGTGGGAGATGACAGAAATTGTCTTTATCATCTCCAGGCTGCTGCTGAAACAGGAACAGAGACACCTTGGTGCTGAGAATCCTGCTCTTCCAGATATCCACCAGCGTCTCAAGGCACTCACGCCAGGGTTGGAAAGCTCCTTTTTCACCATTTGCAGCCTGGTTTGCTCAGGAAAATCCACAGCAAAGGTGTGTGGGGACCAAGGTGCTGGCCCTGACTCTGCAAGTCCTGCAGTGCCTCAGAAAGTCACTTCATCTTTTCTGCCTCTACTTCCCCAGCCAGGAAAGAGAATTTTAATTAGGTCCCATGAAAGGAATTCAGCCCTGGACTGACATGTTAATGAGAAGAGACTCTCACATCACTTCTGCAAGTTCAGGAAATCAAAGCAGGCCCCAAAACTCTCTGCCTTCATCACAGGACAGCAGCCCTGCCATGTCACCACCCTCCTCCAGCAATGTGACAGCCAAATTATGTCCCTATTCAAAAAGAAGAGCTATTATGATTTTCCTCCCCTCTTCCCTTCAAAATTTCCCATCACAAGTGTGATTTAGTCCTGCCTCTCCTTGGAATATTCTGCATTTGATGAATGGTGCTTTGCTTGGATATTTGCCTGGTTTCAGATGTAGAAATATCTTCAAACTCCCCAAAATGTCTTCATAGCAGCCCTGACTGGAGTATCTGCCCCTGTAACTGGAGACAAGGAGTATGTCCTCTCCTCTAGCTGCCCAACTCCAATTAAGTATTGTTTTCTCCATGTCTACCTTCTCCCAGGAGTATCCCAGGCAAACACATTTTCTGCACTTCAAAGCAAACCCAGACACTCAGCTCCACAATCAGCTCTAAGTGAAGACACAATGAGAATTAAATAGCCACACATTAACAGAATTGGGTCTCTCCTAGAGGGGCCATATCCTGCTGAATTTAATTTTCAGGACCATGCTGAAGGCTGCAGAGAAAATTCTGTTCAGAGCTTTGGTCAGTTTGTGCCACAAAAGCAGAGCCTGGCAGGAATGGCCCATCAGAGAGAAGTACACAGAGCTCTCTGCATGACAAAGGAGGAGATTTTCAACATCTACGGAAAATGCCTTGTTTTAATGGAATGTCTGCTTTGCTTTCATGGAGTGTCTGTTTTCCAAGCTGTTTTCCAAGCTGTAGAGAACTTCCCCCAGCTCCCATCCTTGCCCAGTGCCCTGCCAAAGGATGAGGACAGCTTTGCATTCCCCCCATCCCTTCTCCTTCACCTTCATCAGCTCCCACCAACCTGGAGCAGCAGTGGAACAGCCCCAACTGCAAACACATGAGACTTTTACATTTCCATGGGGCACCTGGAGCCCAGCTGCTGCTTCCAGGAGAGCTCCACACCCTCAGCAGTGAGGACACAGAACAGGGAAGGGGACAAAGCCCTCTCAGGCAGAGAAGGCTCTGTGTCCTTACTGCTGCTGAATCCAAGGCACATCTGATGAGGCAGAGCCCAAAGCTCAGGCCCTGAGGAGGCACAAATGCTTCTAAATATACAGAGAGACCAACTCCCTTCTCTCCCCTCTCCCTGCTTCCCTCCTTTGTTCATGTTGTCCCCTCAGAAGAACAAGGTGTCCTCCTCCCCTGCTGCCTTTCCACGGGAGCAGCAGGATCTGGGGCCTCTGCCTGCATTCCCAACATGAAAAGCTTTTGCAGGAGCCTTCTGCTCAATGAAACACTTCCTGCTGCCCAGCATGGACACAGGGAGGAATGTGCTCTCTGGTACAAAATTCCCAGGATTAACGGAGCAAGGAGCAGAGCTGAGGGAGCCTGGTGCTTGTCAAAAGTATTTTTTTGGCTTATTGAGTTTTCTTCCTCACCTCTGCCACTGATGGCACAAAATAAAAGTCTCCTGGCAACTGCTGCTTTTAACCTGCAAGTGCTGAAGCACAAAGGAATACCTGAGAATGCTTTAAGTTGCCAAAAACGTGTCATTTCTCCCAGTTGCTTATTCCTCCCTCAGTGACATCAATTCCTTCTGTTGGATTAGAACAGCAGGGAAAATAGAGAAATCATCTGAACCAAGATTAGCCCCTCAATCAGCAGAACTGCACGAAAAAAAGGCAGAAAGAGAAGATGCCTTTTTGGTTCCCAGCCTGTGGACAACACCTGCCTCAGCACAGATGTCCCCTACCTGTTTGGAGTAGCCCCCATAGACGATGATGTTGCCCTCGGGGGTGGGAGTCATTTGACAGCCAGACCTTGGAGCAGGCCCCATCCCTGCAGGAGCCAGCTTGCTCCAGGTGAAGGAGTCCAGGTTGAAGGCGTACACATCGTTGTAGTAGATAAAATCTCTGCAGAGAGCACATGGGCACAGCACATTTTGTGATGGGGTCACTCAGGACAGGATAAAACAGCATTTCAGAGCTCTGCTCACAGCCCCCACTCCTACAAGACAAGGATCTGACAAGATTCAGAGGCCAAGAGTGCTCGACTGACCTTTAGCTACAAGGATGGGCAGCTGCTTCAGGGCTACAATGATTTCTCCCACACCTGAAGACTTTAAATCAAGATCCCTTGTCTTTCTAACACAAAAATCCAGTTCAGTCCCAGTCCTGCTGAGGATAATCCTCCCATCAACACCCAGATTTCTGTTACTGGTGAAATCTTGTTGCCTTTTTTAAGGAGGACTCAAACTCCCAGCCACCCCAGCAACCCACCTTGCACTCTCATGGAACCCTCCAAAGACGATCAGCTGCCTTTTGCACACAACCATCCGATGTCCACTTCGTCCAGAGGGCCCCCCTGGTGCCCTGAAACACAAAGAAATTCCATTTATCAGCAAAATCTCCTGTCCTGGTAGTGCCTCAGGCCATTTTTATTGAGGTTATTGGTGGCTGAGCTGGTTGAGCTCAGCCTCTCCTGGAAATGGGAACCATCGGGAATGTGGTTGCCTCGATCCGTGTCTGCTTTTCCCCGGGACAGGATGGGTGCTCTTCCAGGAAATCTTGGGACTGCAGCACAGGCAGTTCTATTCCTAGAGATAAACCACCCTAACAGCACCCAGAGTCTTCTCAGTGATGACTCAGGAGCTGAGTCTTCAGGAGGGTTTAATGAACAGCACTTCACAATTGCAGGGAAGACACTCCAAACGGAGATGTTTTCTCCAAGCACCAAGAGACAAAGCCTGGCTCTGACATCCCCCTCCCTCAGTGTCTCAGGAAATCAACAACACCTTCACTCATCCACCTGCAGTTTGGGTATGACACCAAACCAGTGAAAACACTTCATGAATTACCCAGATTTCCTCAAGAACAAAGGCACTGCAGCAAAACAAGTCATCGTTATCCCACTGAAGGAGGGCAGGGATAGATGGGATGTTGGGAAGGAATTCTTCCTGACACAGGTGCCCAGAGGAGCTGTGGCTGCCCCTGGATCCCTGAAGTGTCCAAGGCCAGGCTGGACAGGACTTGGAGCAGCCTGGGACAGTGAAAGATGTCCCTGACCATGGAGGGGGAGGAATGGGATAGGATTTAAAGTCCCTTCCAACCCAACACACTCAAAAGCAGCCACACGTTCCTGCTCTTCTTTCCTGACTTTTCAGTTAAATGTGCAGCTTCCATTTCCAGGAACAAGCAACACCCCTTCCATCTGTCCCATCCAAAAGGCTCCCAAAGAGCTGGGCAACTGGACATCACCCCAGCATGGATTCACACTCCTTCCTCCACAGCATCACATGAGAGACAACAAAAACAACCCCAACAACTTTCCAACTCTAGGCCAAGGAGGGTTTGCTGTGTGTTCTCTGCCCCCATGGATGAATCCATCCAATTTTCCCTCACTGAGGAGTCTCCTAAAGCTCCCAGCTGGCACCACTGAGCCCAGCAAGACTCCTCCAACAGGCAGCCCTAAGGTGTGGGAGTGATTGCACAATCAGGACCTAAATAAATAAAGTTGAAAACAGCAGCAAAACCTAAAGCCACAGCCCCATGGCCACACTTGTGGAGTGGCAGCAGGGAGCTGGGAATGTGGTGATGGATTTCTGTGGAGAGAGCAAATGAGGGCCCTTATTCACCATGGAAAATGACAACCTCACCCCGGTGATAATGAGAAACTCCACCAGAACAGCAGCGTTTGAGGAAGACTGAATTAATATTGATTGCTTGGAGTCTTTATTCTAACTGAGAGGAGGTTTTTCCAAGCATTTACTGGATCTTTAAGTATCACCCTGCAGAACAGCACCTCTGGTATTAATTTCATCAAGACCTGAAATCATTATTTTCTCTTGCTGTAACAAAGCTCCCGTGTCATTACTCCAAAAGATGGCACTTTTTAAATCATCTTTTCACTTTTTTAGGGAGAGAATGAATGAAACCCAACATGAGCTCTAAAATCCTGTTCTCAGAGAATATCTTGTGCCTTGTCTCTCCAACAGGTTTCCTCTCATTTCAAAATCAATAAAATTTATTCATTGATGTGTTTTATTAAAGTTCCCACCAATGTAGATTTAACTCCAAGGCACAAATGGCAGAGTCAGGCAGGACTGGCAGTGACGCAGAACCTCATTCCCACTCCAGGAAGATCTTCCTGGAACTTCTTTCCCAAGCACAAACTCTCCTCTTTTACCTGTTTCAGTGCTCCTGGTCCCAAAGAAACATTTTGGAAATGGTTTCCCAGACTTTGTCATTAATGCTCTATTTCATGGGGTTGACACCATAAGGCAGACATGTAGGAGGGAGCTGTAAATTCTCCAGACCTTTTTTTAAAAATAGATGAAAAACTCTGGCTAAGGACTGGCTTTCCACATGTGCAGCATGAGGCTGATCTGAGCTGCTCCATAAGGAATTTTCTTTTGCCTGTGGAGTTACTCTGGGACTTGTAGTAACAAACCAGAGCTGGATTCAGCCCCCAGATTCATGAATTACTTGTCCCAGTGGCTACAGGCTGCAGGAGTTGCCTCTTCATCCACAGGATGCTCAGGTGAAGCTTGGGAATGCTCAGTAATAATAAAAGTGGGGATGAAGAGAACATTCCATCACAGGGGCACTTGAGGACAGAGCACTTTTATCCTGCAGAGGAACTGAACTCAGGATTTGTGCTGTTTTACACCAGTGGCACACACAGATTCTGTCCCCTCGTGTCTGCACGCTCGGGTGGAAACAGAGAAGGGAAAACACAACTGGCACAGAGCCCAAAATTCTCAATTCCAACTCCTTGCAAAGTCAACCCACAGTTGTACACCTGCATCCTGATCTGCCAAAGAACAAACTCATTTCTGGGCTGACAACCTACTTGATTTACACCAAAACACCCTTTTCTTTAAGGATCTTCTACCTGGTGTGGCAGGACCTGATCTTTCTGGTGAGCAAGGAGAGGCAAACATCAGACCCAGCTGTGCTGGGCCATCCTCCCCTGCAGGGCTGCTCCAGTTAAACAGAGACTGGTGAAACTGGGAAATTTACAGCACCACATCCCACCAAATCCTACAGGAAATATCACCAGCATTCCAGAATTTCAGTGAAGGGAGCTGCAGAGGAGGGATGTGGCAATTCCCAAGCACAAGCCCCAAGGATGCTCCCTGAGGGAGGGCACTGGGACTCACAGAGCAGACTGGGAATGTTCTCTCAGGGAAGAAATGAGGCAATTAGGTTAAAATATTGCTGCTCCAAGGCAGGGTAACAAACAGTTCATGGACTGAGGAAACCTCGTGCATCACACACAAGATAAGGTGGCTGCACTAAGTCAAAGTCAGCTGCTGGCACGGCTTCTAACGGGCTGGGATTTGCTGGGTTTGGATCATCTTTGTGCATGCAAAATGCAAGGAAACACAGCTAAATCTTGCTAAATTTAGCAACTTTTAACTCTGTCAGGCAGCCTGGCACCACTGTGCTCTGTGCCAGGAGAAAGTGGAGCTGCACTTCCCCAGTACAGTTTTCAGAGTTAGTCAAGGTTTTCTCTTCCCAAGTGTTTCAAAATCAAGCTCACAGCACCAGGATGGTTTGTGGCAGGAATTGTAGGCCAGGAAGGACATCATCATTGTCTGGAATCTGAGCTGGGGGGCTGGAATAACCAGATTTCCTAGAATTTCATGCTTTTATCACAGCAGGGTCATCTTGGACAAACCAACACATCAAACCCACCTGGAATGGGGCACTCATGGTCCTTCCCATGGGAACAGAAACAGAAATTTTGCCTCTCTTGTCCAGATATTTCTTCATGAATAATTAATTTTATTACTTTATTAGTCACACTAAAATGACGTTTTCTAAACCCCACGCTAATTTGTTCCCCATGTCTGTCACCTGGCATTTATTCAGGTAACACTAGCAACACATTGGATATAAGGAATTATTCCTTGGTGTGTGTGAAGGCTCTTGGTGCCAGGGAAGAACATGGAGCTCCTAAGTGATCAAAAGCTGCTGCTTTTCTCAGTGCACTTTGAGGGTGATCTGGAGCTCCAGCCCACCCAAAGCTGTGTTCTGGGTACAGGACAATCCCAAATCCAAAGGAAGCCAATGGCAAACCCAGACCCAAAGCCAATCTCCTGCCTCACAGTCCACTGGATGTCACTAGAACTCTCCTCTCATGCAAACACAAACAGGAGCAGCCAAAGCAAGGAGCCAAATGTTAAAGAAACATCAACACAGGATTTTGGGCCAGATCCACTGAAAATATTTACACTTTCACTCCTGTCAAAAACTTTTGGCACCTGTTTCCTTTGACAGGCCTGAATTACTGGCTTGTTTATCCCAAGGAATCTCAAGGCAGCAAATGGCAGGAGTGAAGCTGGGTAGATACAAACTGACTTGTCCAGTGGTGTTAAAATTGGGAGATCTTTGCACTGGCCTTGTACAGCCACCCCCGCAGGAGCCCAGGAAAACAGAGCACCAGTTTTGGACATCTGCACCTCCCAGGGGTGGGAACAGAGAGCTGCTCATGACACTCTTCCCTTCAGTTAAGCAACATCAAGGCACACCCACACCCCAAAAATCAGGTATGAAATAAACCAGCTTTGGTCTCAACAGACTTGGAACACATCTCTCTTAATTTCCACTTCTTTATGGAGGTGTCTTCTGTGGCAAGCACATTTCTCTCCCTCTCAGGATTTTTCATAGAGGTGCACAGAGAGAAATGAAAGAGAAAACCACTTCTATTTCTGCTCCTCGTTTTTCCTATATAGAATGTGTTTAGAGAATTGTTTACCTGGGGTGATTGCTTGGTTGGATTCTGGTGAGGATTATTTGAGCCTGATGGCCAATCCAACCCACCTGGGGCTGGGCTCTCCAGAGAGGGTCATGAGTTGTGTTAAAGATAGAGTCAGAGAAAGTAGTATGTAGTTTTAGTGTCCTCCTTTTATATAGTATATCAATGTATTTTAGCATAGTTATAATAAAGAAATAATTCAGCCTTCTGAATTAAGTCAGACATCGTCATTTTTTCCCATTGGGTTCACCTGCATTTACAATAGTCTTCTCCACCCCTTTGAGCATAGGCACCTCTGTATTTAAGGGAGAGCTGGGAAACCACAGCACTGAACCAGGAATCCAACTTGGATCACACTGGCACAGCTCCTCATGAGGCCAACACCAAAGAGTCACTGAACACCAGGATCTCAGGGATCAGAAATCCAAATTTCTTGGCAAAAGAACGGTTCAGACACGAGGGCCCAACACTTACTTGATCTGTTCCCAGGTCTTGGTGGCCAAATGCAGGACCCAGAGGTCTTTGTAGTGGTAGAACTGCTCCCCGTTGGGAGAGGCAAACTCCCCCCCAAAGATCCAGAGCTGCCCCCCAGCCGTGGGCACCACAGCTGCCTGCAGGACAAGGGACACTGGGTCAGAGCAGGATTCCAGACCAGGCACAGGACTTCCCCTGTCAAACACACAGCTCCCACTCCCAGGCAACAGCAGCAGCTCTCTGGGGCTGAAGGAAGGAGAATTTGCAGAATTAAAAGTGTTTAGCACATCTTCTCTAGAGCAAGGGAAAGCTGGCCTAGACGCTGGGCTCGTCCCTCCTCCTGCAGGAAGTTCAAAGTTTCCTAGGAAACATCTTGGGATTAATGTAACAAAAATTGTTCAGCTCTTTCTGTTCAAAACCAAACAAAAGAAATAAAACAAAACAAAAAACAAAACAAAACAAAAAAACCCCCACCAAAACAGAAAACCCAAATACAGAAGGAAATGTGCAGCATTTGGACAAGAGAAAAGACTGTTACTGCTTTGACTGTGTCATAGCAGAGAGGGCTTTTGGGTTTTTTTGGGTGTTTTTTTTTTTGGTTTTTTTTTTTTGCACAGAGCAACACCAAACCACCTCTGGCATGCAGGGAGAAAGGGAGAAGAGCAAGACTCCACTTCACTAAAGTTATCTGTGTTAGAACCAAGAAAGAAGGAAGGAATCCCAAGAAGGAAATGCTGGGGCTGTGCAAATTTCAATTGGTGTTTTCTCCAGGGTACCCATCACAGCTCAACATTGGGATAATGATCTCTTTCCTTTCAAGGCTTCATTCCCTGACTGTCTCTCCCAGCAAAAAAAAAAATATTTTTAGCCCCACACAGGACCATGCCCTGCTATAAACCAGCCCAAACATGAAATTATTAAATAAGAAAATCCAGGGTGTGCTTTGAGGCAGGATTTGTGGGAACATGAAGTTACCTAAACAAAAGGGATGTGTGCCTGAATTCCATGGGTATTCAGTGCTTAAAAGCTTAAAGGGAAGGTTTATGCAACAGCCTGCTCATACTTGTGGGTGAACTTTCCAAGAGCTGGCTTGAAATTCATGACAAAACCAAACCTTCTTCCCTGAACAACTGCCAAAACGTGCCCATAGCTCCTCTCACCTCAACTCCAACAGCGGATTGTGTGTCAGAGACCAGGGATGACAAATAAAAGTAAAAGCATGCCCCTGGCACCCACAGACACACTTCTATTTAACTCTGAGCTATGCATTAAATATAAAGCCACAAGGAAGACAAACCAGTCAGCTCATGAGGCTGAGCTGTCTCCTGTGAAACCATAATTAATTATCAGACAGAAACACTGCTGAAACAGGACTCCTCAATTTATTGTTGCTGTAATCCAGCTGCAGCTCCCGAGCTGCTCCCTCTGGACTGAGCTGCTCGACAGCCACCTGCTGGCTGCTGGAATGTGGCCTCTGAAACCAAGCTCTATTTCAAACAACACAAACTAGCCCAAAAATCAAGGCAGAATCTTTCAATTCAAGGATACACAGCTCAGAGCTGTGGCACTTAGGAGTGTTACAAAGGGATATGAACCTAACTGGGGTGCTGGATCTTACCAGGGAGCTTTGGGATGGGTAAGAAAAGGACATTCACATCCTGTATGGCAGCTTTGGGAAGGCACCAGTCACCCACTGGCTGCAGCAGGTAAGAAAATCTATCAGCTGCTGAGGGCCAAAGACCTGCAAAAAATACAAGTCTTTGGTCCAGGTTCTACTGTGCAGGTGTTCACATGAAGTAAACAAACCCAAATTCCTCATCCTCACAAGCAGCCAGTGACCTGGATTTGCAGAGGTGGAGAAGAGCCCAAGTGCTCCCTGCTGGCAGCAGTGGATGCTCATAGATGAGGGCTGTGGCCATGAAGGGAACAATGGACTTTGGTCAAATGCCAGTTTGAAAATTCAGGGCCCTCTGGGATTATGGATTTGAGCTGGTCCTTGTAGAATGCAGCAAAGAGAATTCATATCTGAGGAAGAATCTCCCCCTTGGCTCTGCTTGAGTTCTGCCAAATCAACAGATACAGCTCCAAATCTTCATTCCACACTGAACACTACCAGAGCACCTTGGACAGAAAAGCTGAAGTGACACCACTGGCAGCCCATTAGGAGGAGAACAACGACAGGCAAGAAACCCCCAGGAGCTGAAAAAAATCCAAAGCTTCCTCCCAAACCACCTTCAGAACAATCCCAGCTGCTGCTCTGGCAGCCAGAGCTTTACCTGGTGAGCACAGCGCCTCGGGGGCGGGTTGGGGATGTCCAGTTTGGCCCAGCTGTTCTTCCTGATGTGGTAAATGTACAGGTCATTGTACAGGTAGGTCTGTGAGACAGGGAGAGGAAACAGCAGCTCAGCCCAGCCCAGCCCAGCCCAGCCCAGGGGATTTGGGGTGAAAATTGCAAAGCACAACCTCCACAGAGGGCAGGGAAGGAGGACAACAAACCCTTGCACTGCACTGGGAGGTAGCAACTCCTCCACTAGGCTGGAATGTTCCTTCCCAAACCCTTGCTGACAGCTTGAAATATGAGGACTTAAAAACCTGCAGCTTGACACAGATGTTCAGGTTAAAGCTGCTCAGAGCAAAGAACAGCTCCAGGTGGTATAAAAAGCAGATTTAGTTCAGCTCAACACACTAGGTAACTCTGAGGTGGCCAAATATCACTGCCAGGCTGGAGTTTTCCAGAGCAGTTTGTCTCCAGGAGCAAAATAACCACTTGCAACCTGCAGAAATTCAGGAAAAAGAGTGTTCCTGAGTGCAATAATTTGCTGCTGTCCCCATCTCCAAGATAGTCAGCAGCAAAGGTGCAGAAATATCTTGTTTTGAGAAGTGCAAGAGATTCTTCACTAGTTATCCCAAATGAGGGGCAGATATGGCTACAATTAAGTCTGGGGAAATTATGAAGGCCTGAAATATTGATGCTGAGACAATCACTCTGACTCCTTAATGGGTTCCAGCGTGTCTCCTTCCTGCCAACTGCTCAGCCATGAGACAGAGCCATGGCAGAATTAAAAGGCTATTTTGCTCTCATTCAGGGACAAATACATATTTTATGACTCTGCCTTGAATTTCCCTTCAAATGAGACCCGTGCAAATTACAGGAAAAGGAGGGAGGGGGGAGATAAAGAAGAAGAAAATGAAGTATACATTACTTTTTGGCCATTGAAATATTCACCTCCAAAAAGGATCAGCTCGTCTCTCTCAGGGTGAGCACAAAGAGAGCAGTTCAGCCTGAAAGAAAAGAGGATGAAAATAAAAAAGATGTGGCAGTCCTTAATACCTTGAAGCCTTTAACTCAAGCACCAGCACCTCTGCCCTCCAGCCCCAAAGGTCTCTCCATCATCTGCCAAATTACTCTGCTGTGATCTTCACCCCAGGGCTAAAAACTTCTCCAAAGAAATTAATTTCTTCCAAAACTTCCAGCAAGATGAATGGGGCACTGTCTGAGAGGCTCTCCTATTTCAGGAGCACACGTTACTTTGTGATTTAACTCCCCCTTTGACGTGAGCTCCTGAATTTTAATGCTGGGGTGGCAGGAACAAAAATGACTTTTATGAGGGCACAGAACTCTGGGCTGTCTCCTCTCCATTTATCTGTGTCATTATTCTGCACTTGCTGCTGGTCACTGCTCTCCTGAACACCCCAAGTTTGTGAACCCCACTTAACAAAGTGGTTTTTACCTCATGACACGTCCTTTAGCCTCTGAATTCCTTCAGCCCTCTAGTCCAAACCCAAAACTTCCTCTTCACTCTCATTTTTCCTCAAAGCCGTGAAATCTAACCCTGCTTTACCTCTTTTGTGCTGATGTAATGGTTAAAAAAATGGATTTTGATGCCCAAAACCAGGCTTTTGGTCTGTTTTTAACCATGAATTCAGTATTCCAGGTGTTTGGTAACTCCAGATATCAGCTGTACCTTCCACTCTTGGGAAATAACTTTACATAAAGAAATTACATTAAAAGCACTCCCACCTGCTCTGCAAGTGGCAGCCAAAACCTCACGCAAGCTCTCACCTGGGTGAGGGGGGTGGGCAAGATGACTCAATTACTTGGGTCTTTTTAGCATCCAAACTCTGGAATTCTGCTATCAGGGCTTCAAGATCCTCCTGGAAAGAAAAGGCCAGACATGAGCAGCTTGACATGCAAAGAAACCAGCACTCACTCCCACAGTTTCCCTTTCTTTAGAAAAAAAATAACTGCCCAAATATAACTGGAAACTCTTTTACATCCAGTGTATCTTTATTCCCTTTCAACTTCACTCAATTAAAACCAAAATCTGCCCCCCAAAACTGCTGACAGACCAAAGGCAGGAGCAGGATTGCAGCAATGGGAGATTCTGATCCAGGGTCTCTCCCACCACCCCATTTCAGGTCACTTTGCTGAAGGTGTGCTTCAAGCAGAGATTTCCAAAGCCTGGGAATTTTGCAGCATGGAACCAGCTCTCCCAAAGGGGCACCTTCCAAGCCTTGGAGCTTTAAATTAGGCCACTGACAGCAATTTTTACCAGGGAAAAGTCATTGTTTCGAGGCTTAAACACAAGCATCCCCTCTAGGAATGGGAGAAACAAAGGTTCTCATTTGCTTTTAGGACCAGAAGAAAAGGATGAAGGAAATGGAAAGCAAGAAGAAGCCTTAAACTGTGCTTTCCTCTCCTTCTTTTACACCTGCTGTCACACACAAGGGAGCAGAGGGGATTTAAGCAAGATTCTGCTCGGAATCAGAGAATGAGGGACCTTAAATCTCACCCATGGGCAGGGACACCTTACACCATTCCAGCCTGCTCCAAGCCCTGTCCAACCTGGCCTGGGACACTCCCAGGGATGCAGGAGCATCCCTGAAACCCAGCTGGAAGGAGGTTTGGACAGAGCTCTCAGGCACACGGTGGGATTGCTGTGGTACCTTCGCAGGGCTGGCAGCTGGACTGGACGATCCATGTGGGTCCCTTCCAGCCCGTTACATCCTTCCCTTTCCATGGGCAGCCCAAATTCCCTTTGGATTCGCTCCTTGAACATCGCTGTCCTGAACCTTCCCCCTGCCCCCAGTCACCTCCTCCTTCTTGGCTCTGCGGGACACCTTCTTCTCCATCTTCGCCAGCGTCTTCTCGGCGCCTTTCCCCTTCTTGTCGCGCTTCCCTTTCTTCCCCATGGCGGAGGGGCCGGGATACGCCGGGATTCCAGCGGGATCACAGCGGGACGGGGCCGGGATACCCCGGGAATACAGCGGGACGAACCGGGATACACACCGGGATACCCCGGGATACTCCGGGATTGCAGCGGGATCACGCCGGGCCGGGACACCCCAGGATCACACCGGGATTGCAGCGGGATCACACCGGGATTGCAGCGGGATAACCCGGGATACCTCGGGATTGCAGCGGGATCACGCCGGGCGGGGATAACCCGGGATACCTCGGGATCACAGCGGGATCACACCGGGCCGGGATACCCCAGGATCACACCGGGATTGCAGCGGGATCACGCCGGGATTGCAGCGGGATCACACCGGGATTGCAGCGGGATCACACCGGGATACCCCAGGATCACGCCGGGCCGGGACACCCCTGGATCAGACCGGGATACCCCAGGATCACGCCGGGATCAGACTGGGATACCCCAGGATCACACCGGGATCACGCCGGACCGGGATCACGCCGGGCCGGGATACCCGGGGATCACACCAGGATCACGCCGGGCCGGGATACCCCCGGGATCACGCCGGGATCACCCGTGCCGGGACACCCCGGAAGAGCCCGGGCCGGGGCCGCTCCCCGCACCGCGCGGCAGCGCCCCCCGCCGGCCCGGAGGGCTGATGGCGGCCGGCCGCGCTGAGGGAGCGCTGCGGGAGCTCCGCGGGCCGCGGCCGCTGCCAGCCGGCTAAAGCAGCCCCGCAGCGCCGGGCAGAGCGGCTAAAGCAGCCCCGGAGCGCCGGGCAGAGCGGCTAAAGCAGCCCCGCACCCCGGCCCGCACAGCCCTGGCACGGCTCGGACGCGCTGGGGTTGATGCCCGCCCTGAGGAGAACGTGGAGCCCACAAAATGGCCCCCTCCCCTCACACAAAATGGCCCCCCCTCAGGGGAGGAGGACGTGGCTCCAGGGCAGGGGCAGGCTCTGTTCGGTGGTGCCCAGTGCTATAAATGAAAATTTGTCCAGCCAAATTAAAATGGAAAAAAAAATTTATTTTGCAATCAAATTCTATCTAGCCAGACACAAGGAAAGAGCAGAGCTGAGCCCGGGGTTGGCCCTGGGTGTGCAACAAGAGGTCAGCCTCAGCAGAGGTTTTCCTCCATGCCCACACACCTCCATCCTGGCACAAGCGGGTTTTATAGGGAAAATTCCGCCTGAGGCCAAGATTTCGGCAGTCTTTTCTTCCATTCAGAGTCCATAGGTTAATGAGATTTTCCTTTTTTTGGTGATGAGGAAGAACAGTTCAGTGTCTGGAGTTGTTGAATCCCTTGATGAAATTTATGGGAACACTGCATTCATGTGTATCTGCCCGAGGATTTCCATGGTATCCATCCCAGGTCCATGATATCCATCCCAGGTCCATGATATCCATCTCGGGTTGTTTATGATCAGTTTATGATCAGTGCCTTGGCGTCCCCGTATCTCTCCAGACATGGCCCATACCATCTCCTGGCCAAGCCACATCCTTTTATGTGTAAATCAGATTTCAACATACACCAGGTTTTGCCTGCAAGGGTGGGGGGGACTCCTAATACAAACGTGTATACTCCAACAAATATTCAGTATCACATATATCATACTAGAAATGGCGTGATTTATATCTACCAACAGCAATGGCCATAAACTAAACCACAAGTTCCACCACAAGTGAGGGTGGCAGAGCCCTGGCACAGCTGCCCAGGGAGGTCATGGATCTCCATCTCCATTCCAAGCCCACATGACCACGTTCCTGTGTCACCTGCTCCAGGTGGCCTTGCCTTGCGCTGGAGGATTTTCCAGAGGTCCCTTCCAACTCTAAATATTCCATAATTCTGTGATTAGAAGGAATTTCTTCACAGAAAAGGTGGTTAAACACTGGCAGGGCTGCCTAGGGAGGTTTGGAGTGCCCATCCCTGGAGGTGTCCAAGGAATTCCTGGATGTGGCACGCAGTGCTAGGGACAAAGTGGGGATCGGTCACTGGTTGGATTTGATGATGCTGGAGCTCTTTTCCAACCTCAGTGATCCTGGCATTCTGTAATTCTATCACCTGAGACATGAGCCAGGCCTGGGGGAGGCCCTGTGAGGAAACAAAATAAAATTAAACCACAGGCAGAATTCCCCAAGGATTGAGGCACTGTGAAAATGTTTTCATTTCCAGCTGCAGACCTTTGGGAATGGCATTTATCCAGGCCACTCTCCAAATCCTGAGTTGTTGGAGAGTCAAAAGAAGTACAGGCACTGTCAGGCAATGCCAGGCAGCTGCTTTTTCCCTCAGTAGTGGAGAAGGAATAATGATGATTTATGTGGTATTTCACTCAGAAATGCTGAGCCCATGGAAAAATTCCTGGGAAAACACCTACTTTGAACACCTAAGGGTGTAAATAGGGGTTGAAATGCAGCTTTTAGCTCCGAGTTCATCCCACTGCGCATCAAAATTGCCACCATGACTGTTTCTTGTGGAGCAGAAGGAATAAAATCATTCTATTTTTCACCGAATTCCCACAAAACCCCTCATTTCCTGGAAGCAGGGAGGGTTTCACCACTCCAAACCAGCGAGGATCTCCACTAAGGTACAGTTCAATTATCTAAAACATCCACGTGCCATGGAATTGCAGGATGTATCCTTTGCTGTGAACATCCACCTACTCTTCAGCCTGAGATCAGGGAAAAACACAGCCCTGGGGCACGGGGGGAAGAGCTGGGAAAGTTATTTTGAGGTTGCAGACAATGCACAGCATGAGCAGCACTTTGTTTTTCTGTTTGTTCTGAAAACATTGTGGTCCCAGCTCGAGCTTCAGCGTCTGCCTGTTTATGTGCAGGAAGGGAACAGAAACTCCGGAGGCACCGGGGATGGGACAATTGCAATTCCCAGATGTGGGAGCTCTGCCGAGTTCCCTGGCGCTGCAAACAGGCTCGGAAGTTTCCCCGCTGCTCCTTGGGCTTCAACTTCAAAGAGACATCAGTGTGTGAAAACACATCCCCTCCTGGTGTCTACAGGTCAACAATTCCTCTGGGTCCAGATCTTCCAGCGCTTTTTAGGGAGGCTTTGACATGAAAAAGCTGCATTTTTAGGAAATTAACCCTCAAAGTCTTCACCTGCTGAGGGAGTGAGAAGTTTTTCACCTCCTGCACACCCAGCTCCACTCACCCCCTTTTGGTGCTTCATCATCCACGGTTATTTCCATGAGCTCAGAGATTCTCTGAGCTGAGATTGCTTTCTCACCCCTTCATTTTCCATGTTTCTGGTGCGGTTTGGGATGCGTGGGGGTCATTTGGAGCTGGCTCCCATGTGAGGCAGGACATTGCTGGTGTGAGTTCCCTGATCCCTTGAACTCCCCAGTCCGGCTTCTCATGCGAGATGTGAGAAAGGAGGATGGGGGGACAACCACAGCTCTGTGCTGCACATCTGAAAATGCGAAGCACAACAGGAGCATGGAAACAGGGCAGGAATTCCTCAGGGAATTCAGCCCCGCTCCACTATTGAGCAGTTGCTGTGTCCACAATGGTGACTTCAGGGATGAATCTTCCTCAGGAGGTCGAGGGTAAAGATGAGACTGAAGACCTGAGAGGACCAACCTGCCCTAAAACATCCATTTAAAACTCCAGCACTCACTTAGGTGAGCTCTTTCCACAAGCTTCCCATCAGCCAGGATGGGATAGGCCACTCCATGTTCCCACAGTCTCACCAACATCTGCACACAGCTGGCAGACAGCTGTGGCTCCAAGCTGGGGCACACACACACGCAGAGCTCCCACGCCCAGATGTCCCACGCTTGCCTCTCTTGTGTCTCAGGTTTGGTCCCTGCTTTGTTTGGAGGAACATAAGCTGCACTTTGGCTGTGTTTGCACATTTTGTGCTCTGAAGTCGTCCTGTGCTGTTGTCTCTGGCAGCCCCTCTCCAGCTCTGACCTATACAAAGCCCACGTGGTTCGACTTTGTTATTTTTTTATAGTCTGGAATATGCACATTCAACAGGATGGTAAATCCAGCTGTATCAGCAAAGTAAAGAATAACAGGCATGAGAGCCTCAGAAAAGGCTCAAAAGCTTTTTCCCACAAGTCTTCTTTGTGCTCTAACACTTGATTTATTTTTCCCTTGTTAATGCTTTCTGAAGCCAGTAGCAAGGAAGGAATTAATGCCACAGATTAAACGGGAGGACATGCTGACAGCACAGGAACTAAATCAACCAAAAAAGCATTGCAGTGGTTGGAATTGCTGGTGTTGGAGAGCTCTGCCTCTGTCTGTATGGAAAAAGGAGGATAAAGATAAGCACTGCAAACAGGGAGAGCTGTGTGGTGCTGATGGGGAGTGTTTTATAGAATAATGGAATGGTTTTGTTAGAAGAGATCTTAAAAACCATCCCATCCCATGCCCTGCCATGGCCAGGGACACCTTCCCCTATCCCAGGTTGCTCCAAGCCCTGTCCAGCCTGGCCTTGGACACTTCCAGGGATGGGGAGTCAAATTCTGGGGGGTGTCAGAGAATTCCAGCAGAGCCAGGGCTCCAAGTGCCCTGGGACATGCCAGCATGCCCAGGAAAAATGATTTTCTTTCACTGCTGTGTGGTGGAAAACCCAGAAAATCATTGAATTGTTAAAGTTGGAGCAGGCCTTTAAGGTCATCAAAGCAGCACCACATTCACTACCAGCCGTGTCCCCAGCTGCCACGTCAACATGGTTTTTACACATTCCAGGTACAAGGACTCCAACACTGCCCAGGGCAGTCTGTGCCAGGGCTTGACAACCCCTTCCATGAGAAAAATGTCCCCACTATCCAATCTAAAACCTCCCTCAGCAAATCCTGAGGTCATTTCCTCTTGTCCCATTGCTGGAAGCAGCTTCATGCAGGAAAACTTCACAAAATGAATCAAAAGAACCTTTGGTCTCCAGGCTCAGGCTGCAATTTTCCTCCTTCACATAGATAAAATAGGGAGAAATCCACCCAAAAAATGCCCTTTAGGCTTTGTGGACAGCCAGACTCAGCAGATCCAGCTGAGGGACAAAGGTATGTCCATAACCATGGCTCACTTTGAAAAAAGTTGGGAATTCTTGTTTTTTCTCCTGGCTGTGCTGACAGTCCAGCAGAGGCCCCTCATTCCCTGCTTATGCTGGAGAATCTGGAGCTGGACTGGGAGCTGGCAGGTGGCTGCTGCTCCATTCAAGGCTCGTTTATAACCAGGAGCTGATAAAATCTCCCAGCCATTGAATGGGCTTCCTGGATTTTCTGTTTGGAAATCGGTGCTTTAATATCTCGAGAACAGAGGAAGCCAAGGAAGGCAGAGGCTTCCCTTGAGGGAAGTACAAAGTGTGGCTCTATCCAGATACACGTCCCAAGGGACATCCATCTAAATCCATCAGCAAAGTGCCAGGCTTGAGGCCAAAAATTCTCTGAAGCTGTGAAAGCCCTTACTTCTGCCATTCCAGTAGGATTTCCTTGGGGTTTCTGCACTTTTTGAGAGGAAAATTGGAGTAAATAAATAAGGATGTCAGAGCTAAGGAGCCTGAGACTCCCCCCTCTCTGATCTCTGGTTTTAACTGGTTATGGATTGGGGGAA